TCATGCCATTGCACTCTAGCCTGGGCAACACAAGCAAAACTCCGTCTCAAAAAAAAAAAAAAAAAATGGAATCCTGGGGGTGGACTTTGGGTAGTTCATCCTACCAGCCTTGTGTCCTGTTACTCCTGGGATGGGTCAAAACCAGGAAATCCTCTGCGGCTTTGGCAGCGCACAATTGCTGATGAAGCCACAAATTGTTGGAAACATGAATATCTGGCATTCATTGTTTTGAGCCTGTGCTTGCCATGAATATGAACTGAGTTAGAAATGAGACATATACTTTCCCGGTGCTTCTCCATTCAAGACCTCTTGGCTTTATATCTAGTAGAGCAGAGCTCTACTGTGCCAATCTTCTAGCAATAAACTTCACACAAACCCAGCAACCTAATTGTTGTGGTTAGAATGAGAAGAGATGAAGATGCTGTTGAGTTAGGTCATCTGGTCTCCAAAGCAGAATTTCACAAGCTGATACTTTTTTGTGAAGTCACAGTGGTCTATGTCTGTTCTTAGGCTGGTGGGTTATTAGTGCACCAGAACCAAAGGGATTCTCACAAGCTGACTCACAGTAACCTGACTTTTAAGTGCCAGATGAAGGAGACAGAATGCAAACTTATTAATTTAACATTGAGAGATGATCCATTTTGCAACCACAGAGTTCCCAACTGTGAATCAATGCACCTTCTTTGTTGTATCTAAGAATTAGAGAAACCAAACTAATATGAAGGCTTTTGTCAAATATGGAACTAGAAGAGGGATGTGGGGTCTTGATGAATGAGGTTGAAGAACTGCCTCAAGTCCACACATGCTCATGTGATGGTGTTCATGAGTTCAACGTTGCTCCTTCCTGGATTGGGCTGGACACTGTTGAGTTGTGTTTTTAGGGCTCACTTTCTCTTTTTAAAACATTTTCTTAACCACTTGAACCACCAGGGATATGGCTCACCTTCTTTAGACCTCCAAGACCAACATTATTTCTTTAATTCTTTATAGCTTTGATTAGGCTACATGTATGACATTGTCAAACTTGAGTAATCATTTAATTGATTGGGCATTTGGAATAAAGAGGATATGGTTTTTTCAGATTTTGACTTTAACATTTACTAGCTGTGACACTGAGCAAACTACTTAACTTCTGTAAGCCTTGGTTCACTTGTTTAATGTGGTAATAACCATAGTATGATAGGGCCATTGTGAGAATCGAGTGAGATAATTCATGTAAAGCGTATAGCACAATGTCTAGAGGCATAATATTTAGTCAGCTTTTAATTGAATAAAAGAAGCATTGCTCTTTCTACCGTTTGGCCCTAGGAGACACTGTGGCTTCTGTGCATCTGTGATTACTTTTATTACGTGTTGGTGGTGGAGAAGCCTTCCAGCTGTTTTCTCCATTGACACCAAAACCTGACTCCAGGAAACATCGGGGCCACAAGGGACAAGGGTAACAGATATTGTACTAGGGGAAGGGCCGTCAGTCCTCTCTGAATTTCCCTGTCATTTCAGTTGTCCACAAACGTGATCCTGTTACAGGGATGACTTCAAACTCTTCTCCCTCCTCCTCCTGAACTATCTTCTTCCTACTGGCCGCAAAGCTTGTGAAGGTTGATAAGGTGATGGAGAGGTCCTTTATGGCTGAGCTTCCTAACATTCTGGAAAACAGAAGAGTTGGACCTGTATGTGGATTTTCCTTTGGGTCAGGTGTGATTCAGCTTTCTATTAAAAAGAAAGGTTCTATCCTTAATCTAGCACTTTCTGTAGTTATCAGAATGGCCTTGCATGACTATGCCACTCAAGTGAAATAATTCATTAGCTCTCGTGTGATTAGTTTGCCAACTGAATTAAGCTCACGAAGCAGTATAATGCAATCCTACTAACAAGGTTACTGGGTGCCAGGCATGCTTCAGGAGCTCTGCATGCATTAATTAGTGATGTCATCTCTGCCCTATGAAGTAGATGCTATTAATAGCCCCATTTTAAAGATGAGGAAATAGAGAGGTTAAGTAACTTGCCCAAGATCTCACGGTACATGGCAGGGCTGGGAATCAGAGACCCAGCTGGTCTAGATTCAAGTATGTGTTCTTAATCAGTACATGATTCTGCTTTTTAAACAAAGGTGGCCAGAGTTCTTTTCTAGGTTTTTCTAATCCCTTTAAAGGGGTGCTTGTTCTGAGTTTTCATCCTAGTCTCCTTTCCCCACTGAACTTACAGAGTGCTCTTACACGGGTAGTAATTTTATTTACCTTCCACTGTGAGACTTGTCCCTGCAACCAGAGTCTCTGCTGGGAATGGGGATGGGGGCGTTTCTCAGAAAGTGGCAGTGAAGGAAGAGAACACAGTTATTTTTTTCCAGTCAATGAACAATGAGCTGACAGACATTTATCCTGCACAGAAGTGCAGAGAGAAGACCTTTTTACCCTTATGTACAGTTGATGGGTAGTTCTTTATGACCAACTACCCAGGTTTAGAGATATTCAGCCCAAAGTGTGGTCTCTCTCTAGGTCTTCTGGGTCAGCAGAGTTAGGCAGTTTCTTTAAGGGCCACAGATACCGAACGTGTGGACACAACCCTTCCTGGGAACTCTCGAGCACTAGCTGGCTCGGTGAACCTCCATAACAAGCTGTGATATCGGAAACTTTTTTTTTGTTTTTTTGTTTTTGGAGAAGGAAAAAGAGAAGGGAGTCCCAAACCTGCTGTCCTCCTAAAAAGAGTAAGAGAACTTACTGTCTGAGATGTTTTATCCGGGTACGACTAGTATGTCCACCTTGACTGTTGTATTGTTCCAGAGAGAGAGAAAGGAAGGGAGTTGGGGGAGGAGAGAGAGAGAGAGAGAGAGAGGATCAAGAAAACATATTCAGAAATTTTGCTATTGGGATGCCTTCTTAAGATGTTTAGAAACATTGATATATATATTTTCCCCATGTGCATGTAAGTGGTAGCCTGTGGCTTAAAAGCGTCACCTAGGAAAGCTCTCCAAATATGATGCTCAACCTGAAAGGATAATTACAGCAAACCTTTCAATGCCGCCAAACAGGGTTGTTCCCATTTGAACTGGGTGCGTGGGTTGTTCCCATGAAGCTTGTGAATCATGCATGAACACACTGACCAGATATTTCTAGCCAGCCCAATACCCAGAGGATTCATTTCCTATAAAAGACATTTGATCGCAGTGTTGAAACAATGTATTCAAGGTTTGCTTGCCCTGAGACTAACCCAAGGCTGTGTCACAGATGCTGATTGCCTCAGCCTAGAAATTCTTCCTAACCTAACATGGACCTATTCTCTTCTCTTTGGGGACACTTTCCTTTTCTCTTGAATTTTAATCTTTCCCCCTTCTCTCATTTAAAGTGGATGTTTGCTTTTAAAATGGGTTTTCATTATAGGAACTTTAATTTTAAATCAAAATGGACAGAAATAGGATAAACCTACTCAGGTGAAGGGTCCGTTTCTGTCTAGAGTAAGATACTTTTCTTCATTTTTTGAAAAAATGGAAATGATGGGAATTAATAACAACATAGGGTTATTATCTTCGAAAGAACATGAAGATCTCACTGATACCATCTAATTGCCTTTAAAAGACACTGGCAAGGTGGGGTGGGGGCAGGTTGGAAGACTTTTTTTTGGTGTCAGTTCTTATTTACAGAGGTAGAAAGCTAGACATGATAAGTAATGTCGGAGCTTGTAAGAGAAACTAAGGACATAAGCTTTGAAGAGTCCATGGTGAGTGCCCAGAGTCTAAGCACAGAGAAGCCAAATGGTACTTCTGTATTTTGGAAGAGTTTAAACTAGCTATGATGTGAAGTGGAGTCAACAAGAAGAAAGGGAAAAAATCCAGAAAAAATATATCTAAAATATCTCCCTTTTTAAGGAATAGAACTATAGACCCTCAGAGTGAGAAGCAGAGATACAGGATTTGACCTCAGGCTCTGGAGACCATGCTGTGTATCCTGATTCATGGTTGTCTTTCGAATTGTGCTAAAATTAGTTTCCCTCCTCATGAGCCCCTTTTCTGCTCCAGCTGCTGATTTACGCTGAACTGTCATAAAACCTTGAATTTCCTCCTGTGGCTGTGTAGGATACTTATTTAGCCTCCCAGTAAAAATCCAGACTTCTTATTTCCTTTAAAAGGTTTGACCACACGAGTACAACCAGCAAGTGGTTTTACATTCTTTTATATGAAGAAGATACTTAAAAAAAAAAAAAAAAAAAAAGCTGCAAGCCTTCCAGTGGCTAACTCCCCTCTTTACTGTGCAACTTATAATCATGTATTTTTTTAAACCGTGAATGGCATGGGGGATATTTTGCACTCCATAGGAGAAAGGCATCCTACTTCTAGGATAAACTGAAAATGGCACTGCTGCACCAGCTCAAGGTTAGCTTGAGTCCAGTGAGATTCCCCAACCCTAATTTTGTAGCTCGGAGCAGATTTTAGTGTGGATGATAAATATCAAGGTCCACCTGGGCCCAGCACTGAACCAGAAAGAAAGGAAGAAGGTGTTGATGGAAACGACATGTGTCTAGTTTTCAATGTAGGGAATAGGAATGCTCTTCTGCAAAGCACCTTACAGTTTACAAGACCCTTTCACCATCATTATTCCATTTTATCCTTACAGCCGTGTGGTAGGCAGGGCTTATATTGTTATACCCTATTTACTCGAGGTCATACATGCACAGGCTGGATTGAGACTCCGTCCCAAGGTTTCTGAATCCCAGTTCCATGCTTTTTCCACATTTTCATCCTGCAGCCTGAGATAATACGCAGTTAACCGCTGACCGGAGTTACTCTGCCCACTCAGATGAGAGAGAACTTATTGATTAAAAAGAGGTCATTCTGGGAGTTCTGCATTCCACTTGCCTAGTGTAAGTTGCTACTTGTCTGGAGGAAGTAAATCATCGAACTGTAAGTTACACAATGCATGTGTCTTTGATGTGGGCATCAGGCATTGACTCACTGATATGTGATACATACCCTAAGAATTGAAAAATGCTTTATTGAGAAGAATTGTGGGCCTGATCACAGGAAATCATGGTGTTTTTTTTTTTTTCCTCCCAAAAGTTAAACACTATTAAAACTCCAGAATCATGACTGGATAACTAAATTCATGAAGAAAGAATTTTAAAATGAGATAATTACAAAAATAGGTCTAGGGCTGTAGCTAAAAGCAAAACTTACATAAAAATCACATTGGGTGGTGCTTTTCAGCATTCAAAGAAGTGTCACATAAACAATTTCATTTGATCTTCACAACAACCCTGTGAAGTAGGCATGATCCTCATTTAACAAATACAGAAATTAAATTTGATGAAGTCTAAATGTTTTCCCCAAGGTCACAGCTGGGAAATGCAGGTGTAGAACTTCGGGCCTTTTGACTTTCCATCTGTGTTTGATTCTGAATTATTTCTTAAAACCTCTGGCAATGTCCATGATTATTGTCGGGAATGACTTACATATTCTGTGACTATCCTGCCAGAAGCTGTGATGATGGCTGGTATGTAACTGATGCCTTCTCACATTGGGACTGCCTTGCGCTTACAAGCAGCAACTATTCACTATTGCTTTTCTGCAAAATGTGTGGATATTATGTCCATTTACTCTGACGGACAGATTGAAGCAGGAATCTAAGCTATGTTTTTCTTTGTCACTCTTCACAGGGAGGGGAAGAAGGGTTATTTCTTGAGAGTTCCAGCTAAATGTTCCTTGTCAAACAATCAGAACAAACTCCCATTCCCTAAAGAATAGAAAGAGAAATAGCAAATGTTTAATGAAAAGACCCATGCTATTTCTTCAAAGTGTTCTAGATTCACTCCCCACAACTTATCTGACTCTCAAATAAAATATTTGGAGAGCCTAATAGGTCACAAAGTTTCGGAGACCATGGACATTTAAAAAATATCTTTGGAAAGGTCAGGTATGTTAGTGTAGATAAATCATAATTAAGACAGCAGGGTTTAATAGGATCCATACTCGTGACTATCTACACAAGGGAATTAAATATTAAAGATCTTTCCCCCTATTTATACTGTTCCCATGTATGTTTCTTTCTGTATCCAAAGAAATTTAGAAGGGAAGGTTGTAACTTTTCACCTTCAGGTGCCGGTGGCCAAAAACAACTCTAAACTTGTCTGACTGGCTCTAAGGAGGAATGTCAGTAAACAAGGCCTGAGTAAACAAGAGAGAGGCCTGCCCATCAATCACCTGTAAAGTCAAGCAATGTAGGCCGTCTTCCTGGGTGCTTACAAATCAGTTCCCAGCCCTCAGATAAATGCAAAATGTCCTTCCAGAGAAATGTAATTTATTATCATGTTAGCAGTGGTGAGCTAGGGAAGGAGCAGAATAAAAGATATTCTACCTAGCAATAGGTAAGTAGTAAGAAACTAAGTACCTTAAGGGACTGGGGAGTTTTCTTAAACCTCTCTGGCAGGAGCATGTATTGGCCTCTCTTTCATAAATGTGGGTCATTTTCATCATTGGGATGTTAGACTTTGGCAGGTCTGATGATGAAACAAGGCTGCACATGCTCGTAAGAAGAAATGACCTTCCCATCCTTAATCTCCTTGGTGATGGTGCAAATTTTAACCAGTATCCGGGACAGGGGTCCACAGGCACTGCAGTGCTCCTTTAAGCCACAGGGGGCTGAGGATGTGCAAACTGGGGCCGTGCATTCCATGGCTCCGGACTTATAAGATGTCCAAGGGGAAGGCTCACATTTGGTGGCACACGGGTAACAGGGACGCCTAAAGAAAAAACAGAATTTTAGCTGTGATTGAGGGAAGGCGATGATGGTCATGGAGAAAAATGGTCGTGGCTAATTTTTTTTTAACACTTGTTGCTCAAGACAAGTACATACTTCCAAATGCTTATTCATTCATTTTGTACTGTAGTTGGTGGAAGAAAAAGACTCAGATCAAATCCATTGGAAGTCAGCATCTGGGTTTAGAAGTATTTGATTATGTAAGTTTCCGTTAGTCAATACCATCGCATTGTAGAAAGAATACCGCACTAGCAGTCAAAGACTGGGGCAGAGAACGGCTCTGTCCTTTACCAGCTGGTGACCTCAGCTAAGTCATTTAACTCTCTCAAGCTTTAGTTGTTCATCTGTAGAATGGATATAATGGAAACTAAACCTACAGGATCAACAGTGATAAGGAACAAGTTGAGGGGATTATTATCTGAGGAATGGAAGTTAACCAGATATTTTTCTCATTGCGGAGTTAGTCATACTAATAGTGGTGGCCTAACTCCAGCTATGAAAGAGTCCTCACTGTGTCATCAGGAAGCTTCAAAGTGCCTTCTAGCTGTCTATACATAGCTTTTAGAGAATTGGAGTAAAAAGCAGTTCATAGTAAACACTCTTTTGATAAGCATAATCTTTCTTTGATGATTCAAGGTATTTTGGTATATGATCACGGCTCCTAAAGGTGACGGCATTGATGACCATTGTGCTCATATAATGTGGTCATGCCAATTAAAAGAATGCTGTGAAGAGTTCACTGATTATTTTGGGGAAGTAGGTCTCCTTTGCAATTGTACCTAAGTCTCTCAGGTGTTAGTTTGGACTGAGTTACTTCAAAGAACTCATCCTCCAGGTACGTTTACTTATGGGTTGGTTAGCTTTTTATTGTTTACAAAGATTATAACTTTTATTTTTTAAAAAAGATGCTAAAACATACATGTGTATGTGCTTCTGTTGGCCTCAAGGACTGGTGGCTAGATAGGGTTAGGGGTTTCAGCCTGAGCAGAATGTTCCTTCAAAGGAGGCTGGGTTGTTTTGTACAAGCTCATGAAAATCAAACGTTCATCTCAGTGGGGAAACATCTGGAATGATCAGATTGGGAATATTCATCTATGGGGAAATCATTTTTTCTCTAGTAATTTTTAAAACTCGAAGAAGGTAAGCAACCTATAAGAAGTTAACCTGGCACATGGGCTCCTCAGAACAGCCAACGCCTCAAATTTGGATGAGGTTACAATTGCAAGTCTTCCTCATGGCACAGCTTGAGAAGGTGTGTGGATGCTTCTGTCCAAGCTCCCCATCACTGGCAAGAAGGTCAAACAAAGCACTTGTCCCCTATTGCCAGTGGCAGTACATATATGGTTCATTTGCACTTCTCTGTCATAGAAGTTGTTGTTATTTTACGTACTTGCCATCCCAGCTCTCCAGAAGGCTGCGGTATGTGGTAATCTCACACTCCAGCCGGGACTTGACGTCCAGCAGGATCTCGTACTCTTGGTTCTGTCTTTCCAGGGCACACCGGATCTCTGCCAGCTGAGCCTCCAGGTTATCAATCAGACTCTGGATCTGGGTCAGCAGGGTTGTGTAGCGAGCCTCCGTCTCCGTCAGGATGCACTCTTGGGAATCTCTCTAGCATGGAGAAGGATAGTAGGGTTTATAATGATGACTCCTTTAAGCCCAGGTCACCTGTGACCTGTATCATTTAAAAAAAATGGTTTCTTTTTTTTTTTTGAGATGGAGTCTCGCTCTGTTGCCCAGGTTGGAGTGCAGTGGCACGATCTCAGCTCACTGCAAGCTCTGCCTCCCGGGTTCATGCCATTCTCCTGCCTGAGCCTCCCAAGTACCTGTGACCACAGGTGCCCACCACCATGCCTGGCTAATCCCAGCACTTAGGCCTCCCGAAGTGCTGGGTTTGCAGGCGTGAGCCACCGTGCCTGGCAAAAAAAATGGTTTCTTTGTGACACTACTGATAGATCTCCAAGCACTTTATTTATTATTTCCTAAGCAAATAAATCCAAAACCCAAATGATAAACTATGCTAAAATCTGCTTTCCTTTATCTCCTCCCTCTTTCTCTCTTTCTCTTTTTTTGCCTCTTTTTAAGTATTTATTTCACTTTCTTGACCACCTGATAATCTTGCACCACACTTTCCTACTTAGGAGAGAAAAAGAAATAACTTATTGCACACCCAGGCATTAAAAATGCATTACTGGCTGGGCATGGTGGCTCACGCCTGTAATCCCAGCACTTTGGGAGGCCGAGGTGGGTGGATCACAAGGTCCAGAGTTCAAGACCAGCCTGGTCAAGATAGTGAAACCCCATCTCTACTAAAAATACAAAAAAAAATTAGCTAGGTGTGGTCGTGGGCACCTGTAATCCCAGCTACTCGGGAGGCTGAGGCAGAGAATTGCTTGAACCCATGAAGTAGAGGTTGCAATGACCTGAGATCACGCCACTGCTCTCCAGTCTGGGCAACAGAGTGAGACTCCATTTCAAAAACAAAACAAAACAAAACAAAACAAAACAAAACAAAACACCAAAACCCATTACCATGGCACTTCATTCAGTGAGTGTTTGTATCATCGAAAAGGAAGCAAGAAATGTTTAACCATATACAATTTATCCACCAGAACAATTCCTTTATATGTAAAATATGAAAGTTGAAACTGATGAGTAAATTTCATTCCTGTTCTATCATTCTGTAAGTCTATGGATAATGATGGGATTTTAGGTTTTAATAGCCTATTATTTGCATGATTATCCCAATTTTTATAGATGAGAAACCTGAGGTTCAAGTGGTTCAATATGTTGTCCAAGGTCACATGACTAACCAGTGACAAAACCAGTGTGGGGCAAGGTCTTCCTAAAATGCTTCACATCAGAGCATGTAAGCAATTCTCTACTTCAGAGAGGCATTATCATGAGACAGAATGGTACTGGCTTTGGAATCTAAACTCTGGCTCAGACTCATTTCTTTTGTGACTTTGGACAAGTTTCTCAATGTCTCAGGATCTCAGTGTCTCTATTTATAAAATAGGTGGGCTGAAACTTACCTTGGATTTGCTTGGGAAAATCACCTTAGCTCTTGGAGCCTCGTCTGTAATATGCGTTAATAATTATGCCACCCCCCTTTTAGGATTACTTTATAAATTTCACGTGATAGCTTGTAAAAATGCTTTGCATATAATAAAATGCTCTCCCAGTGTTTCCCAAAGTGTACTTCATGAATCATTAATACCATGAGATGCTCTAAAAAAAGTGCGGGGTGGGGGGGATCCACAGTCAAATAAGGTTTGGAATGCTGAATACCGTATATCCCCTTCCTGGAGATTCATGGTGTATATTAACTTATTAATGGCTCACAGGAAGGCACCCTGTTTAACCTTGGTTTAGTCCAGCATTTCCCAGACTTATTTGGCCACGAAGTCCTTTTTCAGCCATAGACCCTTTAACCAAAGAGGAACTGTTGTTCTGAGAGACACAGTTTGGGAAATACTGCAACACACAGGTGTCAGGGACTGTTGCCATCTGTGCTGAGCACAGCTTGGTCAGCTTGCTTGGTACCATTCGATGCTGGGCCTGCAGTTCAACCTCCAGAGTGTTCACAGTGCGTCTCAGTTCTATGATCTCCTTTTGGCAGCATTGCTGCTGTTGAGAGCTGGTCACCACTTGTTGATTCAGCTCCTCTATCTGAAACACACAGCCAGAGACTGAGAATATTATGGGAGGAAAACATGACTTTGATTAAAGGGCCCTAGAAATGCAGCATCAGCTTATTCTTTTTGACTTTTCTATTTTCCCCACCTGTGTGTTGAACCATTGTTCCGCATCTTTGCGATTTGTCTCCATGATGGACTCATATTGACATCTCATTTCTTGTAGAACCTGGTTTAGGTCAACAGAAGGGGCAGCAGTCACTTCAATGTGAAGTCTCTCCCCAAGCTGACACTGTAAAGAATTGATTTCCTGTGAAAAGAAGAAGAATGTGAAGTCACTTGGTGAACAGATGACCCCCTTGTGTTCTTGTTTCACTCTAATTGCTACGATTTAGCTTAATTACATCTAAAATATAGCCCACAACACAGGAATACATGATTTACAGGTGTTATTGATGCTATAAAATGATTTAAGACTATTTCAAGTAGGACTGTGTGTTTAAATATGTGCAAAATTAAAAAAAAATGAGTAGCAAGACCAGAGTTCCAAAAAATTTAGATCATTTCCAGGGCTGGATAATGGGTGAAACAGGATAAAGGTGGAATTGATCATGAGAGATTATAGTCTCTATGGTACAAATATGGGATTGTGCCAATATTGACTTGCAGCAATATTGACTTGTACCAATGGGAGGTGGCAGAAGTCTGTGTAGGGATGCCTACAAACACAGGAAGACTGTAAGGACAGAAAAATTGGGATCCTTCTTGTGGAAAAGCTGGAGGGGATGATGCAGGCCTTTCTTCCCCTTATGGCTCCAGATATTGTGTTGGAGCCAGCAGATTTGAAATACTACATTGAACCAGTGCTAGTAGCAGTAGGTATTTTCAGGGCTAAACCAGAGTAGTATGTAGCAGTGATATGGTTTGGCTCTGTGTCCCCACCCAAATCTCATCTCGAATTGTAATTCCCATAATTCCTACCTGTCAAGGGAAGGACCTAGTGGGAGGTGATTGGATCATGGGGGTGGTGTCCCCCATGCTGTTCTCAGGATAGTGAATGAGTTCTCACAAGACCTGATGGTTTTACAAAGGGCTCTTCCCACTTTGGTCTCTCTCTCTCCTGCTGCCAAGTGAGATGTGCCTGCTTCCCCTTAAGCCATGATTGTAAGTTTCCTGAGGCCTGCCCAGCTATGTGGAACTGTGACTCAATTACACCTCTTTCCTTTATAAATTACCTACTCTCAGGTATTTCTTTATAGCAGTGTGAGAACGAACTAATACAAGCGGGGACACCCTTTATCAGGTGCAACTCAAAGGAACTGATGCTACTTTTAGGGGCTTAGCTTGTGATTACTCTCCTGGTCTTTCTCTCACCTCTTTGTGGTTGTTCTTGAGGCAAATGAGCTCCTCTTTCAGAGACTGGACTTGTGCCTCCAGGTCGGCCTTGCCCAGGGTCAGCACATTCAGGATCTGCTTGAGGCCATTGGCATCTGCCTCTACCAGCTGGCGGAGAGACACCTCAGCCTCATACCTTAGAAAACCAGATGGGAAAACAGAGACATCTGAAAGGAGATGATGCAAACCAAGCCAAGCAGAACTCCCATCTGCATTTTTCTCTGGGCACCTCACTTAGTGTATTTCTATTAAAAGTTTTATTCTCTTTAGAGGTGAAACCATTTGATATAGATCATAACTTAATTATTATTCCCAAATTAGTTCGCTAGGGGGATCTACATTGCTGTCCTTTGAGATATGGGAATGTATTGTCCTTCCTCTGCCCCTAGTGGCAATGCAATGTAAGTGAAGAAAGCACTGGATTAGGGCTCAGAAAACGTGGGTCCAAGTTTTGGCTCTGACTTGTGCTAGTTATGCTTACCTTTGGGTGAGTAACTTAGCCTCACTAAGCCACCACAGATTTCTCACCTTAAAGAGGGTAACAATATATTAGCCCTACCTATTTTACTGAACTGTTGTGTAGGTAATCAGATTGGTTCACAAGTTTGAAACTATAGGTACTGTATACATGTGAGCAGTTATTAATCTTAGTCATTCATTGAATTTGAAAGTCTTTTCTGGGCTTGTGCCAACATGGTCTGGGGCAAGAGGGTTAGTAGACATGGGGACAATTTTGTTGAGGGCATCTCGGTCAGACTCAGGGTGAGCTCTGTCATCGATGATGGTGTTGGGTGGGCTTACTTGGCTCTCAAGTCATCTGCAGTCAGTTTGGTGTTGTCAATTTGCGAGACCAGTCTGGAATTCTCAGCCTTGGTACACAAGATCTAGAATTAAAAGATTGTACACACAAATGAAGCAAACACCAAGATTTCCTTCTTTAAGAACCAAGGAGCTTCTGTGTGTGTCAAGTAACAGGGAAAGGCTAAATAGACTAAAAGTAATCTTCATAGCTATGCTCATGAAGCTTGGAAAACTTCAGAAAGTCAAATTTCCTGTTATTTTCCTAAAAGATCAGCAAAAAGTACTTACCTAGAAACTTTTAAGTATTTTTGTTGTTGTTGTTAAAATATAAAATCCAGGCCGAGCACAGTGGCTCACCCCTATAATATCAGCACTTGGGAGGCTGAGGCGGGCGGATCATGAGGTCAAGAGATCGAGACCATCCTGGTCAACATGGTGAAACTCTATCTCTACTAAAAAATACAAAAATTATCTGGGTGTGGTGGTGCGTGCCTGTAGACCCAGCTACTTGAGAGGCTGAGGAGGGAGAGTCACTTGAACCTGGGAGCTGGAGGTTGCAGTGAGCAGAGATTGCACCATTGCACTCCAGCCTGGTGACAGAGTGAGACTCCATCTCAATAAATAAATGAATGAATAAATAAATAAATAAAAATAAAAAAAATCCATTCTAAATTTATATGAATACCATGATCCACTAGAATGTCAACTCCATGAGGGCAGGGACTTTTTAAAGGTCACCAATATTTTCCCAGAATCTAGAATAATGTTTGGCTCAATATTGTTACTGCTCAGTAAACATCTGTTGAATGAATAAAACTGAATAAATCCAGACGTGTAGTAGCAGAATATGTCTGTGCATAACAAACTTAGGTTTGGTGTAGAAACAAACCAATCAATGTGGAGATGATAACATAAACATAAAAGGAGAAAAAGGTGGTGATGGTTGCAAAATGGATAAAAACTAAACTGTTCAGAAACTCATTAAAACAAAATTTATTTTCTCTGATCTCTGTTTCCCTATTTTTATTTAAAAAATGGCAACAACTTGCTGTTAACATCTTTTGGTCCTGAATTATCTAGTTATAATGGTAGAGTGTATTTCTGGAGAAAGGAAACACCATGAGACTCTTCTTTTTGTTTTTGATTTTTAAAGACAGAACCTCACTTTTGCCTGGGTTGGAGTGCAGTGGCAGGATCTCAGCTCATGGCAGCCTCGACCTCCTGGGCTCAAGTGATCCTCCCACCTCAGCCTCCCAAGTAGCTGGGACCACAGGCATGTGCCACCATGCCCATCTAATTTGTGTGTGTGTGTGTGTGTTTGTAGAAATGGAGTTTCATCATGTTGCCCAGGCTGGTCTAGAACTCTTGGGCTCGAGTGATCTGTCTACCTCAACCTCCCAAAGTGTTAGGATTACAGGTGTGCATCACTGCACCTGGCCAGAAATACTAGCAGACTCTGAATGCTGCCTCAAGATGACAATTTCGCTCAAGAGATTTTTCTATTCTTCAAAAAATGTTTCAGCACCAACTGAACAAAAAATATTAAAGCTTAGCAAATAACTGTTGCTTGGAAACCATCAATTCACAACACGATTAAACAGGGTCCTAGGAATCTTACCTTCTGCTGGAGCTCCTCAATGGTAGTGTAATAAGACAGGTAATCAGGACATAGAACAGGGAGCTCTTTGTTGTTCTCTTCCTGGATTTTAGATTCCAATTCAGCATTCTCTCGTTCTAGCATTCGCACCTTTTCCAGGTAGTTAGCAAGACGCTCGTTCAAGATTTGCATGGTCTCCTTCTCATTACTGTTGATGCCTTCACCATACCAGCTACAGTCATCTAGAGAGGAACGCACGATGAAGTTGTTTATTAGGTAGATGGGTTTGCGACAAAAGCAAGGAGTGGGTTGGCAGCCCTGGTCCCGGGTAGTTCTGAGAGTGTGGCCAGCTGGTTGACAGTTCTTGACTTTAAGGCCACCAGGATGGCAGCAGTTGTTCGAAGAGATGGTACTAACATTTGTAATCCTAGAGCAGTTTTGACATGGGGTTGAAGGAGAATTGGTTGTTGTACAGCCCTTGGTATCCATAGTATGTGTCCGGCTTTAGTTGGTTTCCAAGACTGGTCACCAGGATGAAAAGCTCAAGCCACCTCCACGGAGTCTGAATTCCAAGACTCTTGGTGTTTTCCTCTTTGAAGTGCTTATATAGCCTCTCTTCTATGTGGTGTCACACAGGTGAGATGTTTTCCTTTCTCAGGTTTATATCAAATCCTGTAGGAACATCTTATTAGTCTGCTTTTTACTTGCTTAAGAAGAGTTATTTGTCTCATAAAAATGTGCATTTAAGCTGTTACTAAGTTATTACCCATCATAAATACTACTTGTCTATTGGACCCAGAGCTTCAAATTATGTCTTCAAAAGGAACTGTCCTAACAGCATCCATTATTAAGCAGGTGTGAGTATATTAAGTTCATTACGTTCTTCTTGACCTCTCCACTTGGCACTGAGCTTAACTAGGAATGAGTTCGTCCTTCTTTTCCTTTCTTCTCTAGGAAAGGGAAACTATTAATGTCTAATAATTATTGGTAAACTTAGAAATCAGAAGTCAATATTTTAGTTTGTTCCACCCAAATGATTTCCCCATTTTCAGTGTCAGGACAATGTGAGTATGAATTAAAATGTCAGTATTTTAAAAGACTTGTTTTAAAGATAATTGCTAGATTTATGTTTTAGCTTTCCATAAAATGTAATAATATAAAATAAAATATAAATAAAATATGAAATAAAATAAAAGCCATGGGGAAAAGGTAGGGTTTGATTGCTAATAAGAAATTTCTTGGAAAAGAAACTGGCTATCTTTTGGTTTTCTGAAGTCCACATTTTGTAACATTTTTAGTGCTAATGTTTGCTTGTGGCATTACATTAGATAAAAATTTATCACAGTGTTGGTTTATACTGGATATTTAAATAGGATCCATTGAAAGGGGTGTGTTTTCTTTCTGAGGAATACTTACTCAGCATTTTCTTAAGAAAGTTACTTGTTCCTAGCCCTTTATGGAGGCTCTAGGGGAACATCATTTTCTTGCTTTTTCCAGCTTCTAGAGGCTGTCCACATCCTCAGCTAGTGGCCCCTTTTCATCTATTTTTTTTTTCTTGAATTATGAGATTTTTTGTACTTTAAGTTCTTGGATACGTGTGCAGAACGTGCAGGTTTGCAACATAGGTATACGTGTGCCATGTTGGTTTGCTGCACCCATCAACCTGTCATCTACATTAGGTATTTCTCCTAATGCTATCCCTCCCCTAGCCCCTCACTCCCTCACAGGCCCTGGTGTGATGTTCCCTTCCCTGTGTCCATGAGTGCTCATTGTTCAACTCCCACTTATGAGTGAGAATATGCAGTGTTTGGTTTTCTGTTCCTGTGTGAGTTTGCTGAGAATGATGGTTTCCAGCTTCATCCATGTCCCTGCAAAGGACATGAACTAATCCTTTTTTATGGCTACATAGTATTCCACAGTATGTATGTGCCACATTTTCTTTATCCAGTCTATCATTGATGGGCATTTGGGTTGGGTCCAAGTCTTTGCTATTGCAAGTAGTGCTGCAATAAACATACATGTGCATGTGTCCTTTTAGTAGAATGATTTTTATAATCCTTTGGGTATGTACCAAGTAATAGGATTGCTGGGTATTTATGGTTCTATAGCCTTGAGGAATCACCACACTGTGTTCCACAATGGCTGAACTAATTTACACTTCCACCAACTGTGTAAAAGTGTTCCTATTTCTCTACATCCTCTCTAGCATCTGTTGTTTCCTGACTTTTTAATGATCGCCATTCTAACTGGTGTGAGATGATATCTCATTGTGGTTTGATTTGTGTTTCTCTAATGACCGGTGATGATGAGCTTTTTTCATATGTTTGTTGGCCACATAAATGTCTTCTTTTGAGAAGTGTCTTTTTATATCCTTAGCCCATTTTTTGATGGGGTTGTTTTTTCTTGTAAATTTGTTTAAGTTCCTTGTAGATTCTGTATATTAGTGCTTTCTCAGATGGATAGATTGCAAAAATTTTCTCCCATTCTGTAGGAGGCTGAGGCAGAAGAATTACTTCAACCCAGTAGTTCAAGTTCAGTGTAGGCAACACAGTGAGATTTCATTTTTAACAAAGTAAAATAAAATATAAAATAAAAGCCATGGGGAAAAGGTAAACCATTATATGTACTTTGGGGACAATTCTGTATTCCCTTTGGTGTGGGGGCAGGGAATGTTGAAACCATACTTCATTCTTTACAGTGAGACAAATTACAAGTAGATCAAAGATTCAGATATGAAAAATAAATAATAAATATGCCCTAAAGGATAATTATTTTATAAATTTGGAGTCAGAAGACTTTTCCAATGATGACTCAATATTAAGAAGCCATAAAAAACTGTTAGATTTGACTCCATAAAATAACAGTGTTTGAACTTGTGCTTGGATGAAAAATACAACCTGTAAAACCAGAAGACAAGACGACAAACTGGGAAACAATATTACAATTACACTCCAGACAGTGACCAAAAGGAAAATACAAAAGGCACTTAAAATAAGAAAAAATGCTCAATGTCACTCATGAAAAGAAAAATGTAAATTTAAATCATACTGAGATACTTTAGTTTTCCACCTATCAAACTGAAAAAAAATCAAAGTTTGATAACAGATACATTCACTGCCTATAGCACTCTCATTGCTTGTGGCAATGAAATGTAAATTCATGCAAGTTACTATAATGCTACTATAATTAAAACAGTGTGATATTGGCTTAAGGGTTGAACAGTAGATGAATGAGAAAGAATATAGAGTTTAGAAATAGACTCACATATATGTGATCAATTGATTTCTGACAAAGATCCGAAAGCAAGTCAATGAGAAAAGGAAAGCTTTTTCAATACTGTTTTTCAATACTGTTCAATACTTGTTGCTGAATCGATTGGATACTTGTATAGCAAAAATGAATACGTCTTGATCCCTACCTCACACTATGTATAAACATTAATTCAGGTTGGATTAAACACTTAAATGTGAAGATTTCAAGTCTAAAGTTTTTAGAAGAAAACTCAGAAGATTATATTCATAACCTTGTGCCATGCGAAAACTTCTTAGCTCATGGAGGACACTATAATAAATAGATTAGACTTAATCAAAATGAAAACTTTTGCTGATCAAATAAATAGCTAAGAAAGTGAAAAGGTAAGCCACAGTCTGGGTGAAAATATTCTCTCTCTCTCTCTTCATACGCCCCCCAACCCCCCACCCCACATACATTAGAACACATACATACACAACATCATATCTTTTGTAACAGTGGGAATATATTCTCTGAAATTCACCTTTATTGATTTTGTTGTTGTGTAAACATCACAGTGGACTTGATGAACTTGGATGGTATAGCCTATAACACACTTAAGCTATATGGTATAGTCTATTGCTTGTAGGCTACAAACCTGCACAGCATGTTACTGTGCTGAATACAGTAGGCAACTGTAATACAATGGTAAGTATTAGTTATCTGGAAACACATTTAAGCATAGAAAAGGTACAATAAAAATATGATGTTATAGTTTTCTGGGACAATTTTTGTACGTGTGTGTTCCATCATTGTTGACTGAAATGTCATTGTGTGGTACATGACTCTGTAAATAAATATGAGTATAAAAATAAATAAACACATATTTATACAGTAATATACTATATCTATGTCTGTCTGTCTATCTATCTATCTATCTATCTATCTATCTATCTATCTATCTAACAAAGGACCTCCCCCCAGGACCCAGCAATTTCATGGTTAGGTATATGTCCAAGAGAGATTAATGTATATGTTTTATACTCACAACAATATTTGCACAAGAATGCTTATATCAGTTATATTCTTAATAGCACTAAAATAAAAATAACTCAACTGCTCATAAACAGGAGAATGGATCAACAAACTGTGACATGTTTATGTAATGGAGTAGTATGCAACAACAATAAAGAATAAACTGCTGGTACTCACGACACCATAAAAAAATCTCAAAAACATATTGAGCTGAAGAAGTCAGGCACAAAACAGTACAAACAGTATGACTACATTTACATTAACTTCAAGAATAAGAAAAACTCATCTTTGACATAGTTAGAGATGAGAATAGTGGTTGTCTCTGTGGGAGAGATGTGTCGGCTGGAAAGCAGCAAGAAAGAATTTCTAAGGTTGATGTTCTACATGTTGAAATGCTATTCTGTATCTTGATTTGGGTGTTGATTACACAAGTTCATGTGCTTTCAAACTCGATGAAGCTGCCTACTTTTATTTTTATTTTTAGACACAGGGTCTCACTTTGTTGCCCAGGCTGGAGTTTAGTAGCATGATCATAGCTCACTGCAGCCTTGAATTACTGGGCTCAAGTGGTTTTCCCACCTCAGTTTCCCAAGTAGCTGGGACTACAGGCACATGCCACCATGCCTGGCTAATTTAAAAAAATTTTTTTAGAGATGGGGCCTCATTGTGTTGCCCAGCCTGGCATAAACTCCTGATCTCAACTGATCCTCCCACCTTGACCTCCCAAAGTGCTGGGATTACAAGCGTGAGCCACTGTGCCCAGCCTGACCTGCACACTTTCAATTGATGCATTTTATTGTCTGAAAATTGTATCTCAATAACGTGGAATTAACATGAAAAGTTAATATTTGATACAACTGTGTAGCTGCATGAATGTTCACTGCTTTATCTATATACTTAAATTACAAATGGATCAAAGATTCAAATGTGAAAAGTGAAAATCATAAATGTACTAAAAGAAAATGCAGGAGAATACTTTTACAAATTCAGATGAGGAAGTCCTTTGTAACAGTGACTTGAAATTAAGAACCCACAAAAAATTTGATAAATTCGACTCCATAAAATAGCAATGTTTGAAATAGTCCATTAGTCTGAAAATGTATTAAAAAGACTGAAAGTAAATACATCAAGAAGTTAGCAGTGAAATTCTTTGCATTTTGTAGTTATTGATGAATCTTATTTTCTTATGTTTTTATATGCATTCCACAAATTGAATGTATCCC